TGTTCTCGGGTGCACCTTTTTTGGTACTACGTTGCACGTGATTTTAACGCGGCCAGTGCACTTAATTCAATTTGAGCCGATGGACCACTGATAAGCCACCAACAGTCCACGTGCCTCCTTCTCATAAAACACAAAAAAGATGGGAAACAGGGAGTTTTCTGCTTTTTCCATAATGCGTTTCGCCCCTTAAATCAATTAGAGCCTTCATAAACGTCAAAAATAATCCACTCCATTCAGCTGCTGGCCCCCAAGTTTCTTCTATTCGTATTGTTCTACTCCATCCAGCAGCTGTAATGACTCTTGAACTTGACATTTTCCTTTCGGGAAATCCCTCGTCTACGTTGTGCTGTCACTTATATTTTTAATCTCCTCCAGCAGCAGCAGCACCAGCACCGCCAGCAGCAGGCGACACACTGGGAAAATGCCAGAAAAAATATATATGTATATTTATATCTATATGAGGGGAGTGAAAAGTCAAGTAAGTTTGCTGCCATGGCTCCCTTTTTTTAGGGCGATTAACGCGAACTCGCAATTGAAATTAATTGTCAGTCAAAGTGGAAGTCATGATGGGGGGATCGTGAAGTTGCATGTCTGATTGCGAGAGTCTGAGCTGCTCTACCTCCGCTGCCCCCTTGGAAAAACTCCTCCACGCACGTGTTTAAAACGGATTTTTATTTTTAACTTTATCCGAAAATGGAGTCTTTTGCCCTGGCAACCGCTGAAACGTCTGCCACAGTCTGTTGCTGCTACACATGTGGCGCAAATTATGTCAACGTGGATTTGTGAAGTCAACTTGGCTTCTTCAGATATCACACACACAACATTCCCCATCTCCTTTCTTTTTTGTTTATTTCCAATGGCAAGCGTAGCATCAACTCCACCCAAATGGGGCATGCAACACAATTTGAATTAATAAATTTACGTATAAATTACAACTCCTTCGACTGACTGTCGCCAATGTTTATAGAATGTGCCTTGATCTTTTGCCTCCAACGGAAGCATCAATTAGGAACCGGAAAATCCATGAAAGCCACGCGACAGGATGTTTATGTGCGTTGGAAAAACCAAAACCAGTTTGTGAAATATTTGATTTTGATACAGAAACTTGAAATGCGATAAGCCCTGGCACCTACATAACAACTAGTTGCAATGTCATCGAATACTTGCAACCAGTTTTGCACTTTCTGCTGCCTCTTTTGCCACACGCTTCAATTTATCCCATAATTTGCATCTGCTGAGGCAAAATTATTTTTACATTTGCAGAAGTCAGCGACGAGAATACGCGGAATCTTACATCTGGAATCTGCCCAAGCGGCTCAGAGATGCATAAACTTCCGGCCAAGCTGCAATTGCAAACTGTAACTGCAACTCCAATTGCAATATGCAACTGCAACAGATGTTGCGCATGTGCCGTTGCAGCAAATGCACCGCTGCCACTTGAGACTGGGAAATGCGGCTCATATGCATATTTCAACGCCTTTTTTTGGGAAAACAAAAAAACAAGAGACGGTAGCTGGTGAACCAAACGCAACTCACACAAAATCATATCAAATATCGAAGGAAACTGACAGCGTTGGGATAAACAAAGAAGCAAAATATGAAATAACAATAATGCCGGAAAATGGGAAAAACGAAAGGGAAAGGGACCCAAAGTGGGAGTGTGTGTGAGGCCAAAAAATACAAAGGGAGTTCAACGTTAAGTAGACAATGCGGATACAAGTGTAAACTAAACATTCACTGGGAGAAATGGGGAGATATTTTAAACAATTTGGAAAAAATTAGAAAAAATGAAACTATCATTTAGTTAACATACAGCTGATAGCCGAGTTAAATGAGCCATTAACATAATATGACTAAAGGGATTTTAGTTTATAAATTGAATGTTTCTTAATTGTGCATCCCCCTATGTTTGTCAGTGTTTTTCCCCTATGGGTTTATTTCCAAGCCTTTGTTTGTTCCTCTCTCGGCATGTGCAAGAGTGTTTGTCCAAAACTTGGTAACTTCTCCATCTTGCCATTTGCATTTCCCACGTTGTCAAGGGAGCGGGGGTAAAAACTTGGTGAGCGAAGGAAAAGCCAAAGTCAACGTCAAAGTTGAACGTGTCAGATACAATTCCATCTCGCCATAGCTGTTGTTTTTCTTTTGGGTTATGTCTTTGTTGTACATATTTTGTTTATATATTTTTTTATTTTTCGTTTTAGTTTCGGGCCAAAGAAGCTGCCAACTGTTAATTGGAATTCGGACCGCCCTAGACCGCTAGATGCCGCTGTCATCCCCGTTTACGATGAAATTCACATGTACATATCTTTCTATTTGGCAGGGCAGCTCAGGGAACCGAAACAGAAAGATAAATATACAAAATTAACACGTACTCAGGTGAAAATGAGCAGGTAGTTACCCATGTGTGTGTGTGTGTGTATCAAAGGACGCCTCAGACAGACTTACGTATAGACCATCCACTCGTAGAGCAAATAACCCTAATAAATAAGCCAAGTTGCCCGATTCAGGTGGAGGAGGAGGAGTGGGGAATCAGGTTCCAAGCCAAGATGTTCATGAAAAAAGTTAATTAAGGTGTTTGCCCAACAACAACGCCGGGCATTATATGCTAGATATTTATCTCCCAATGGGGGAAAATGGATCTGGTTTTGGTTCTGTGTTGCATGCCACGGAGTGTTTGCTTTTGAAATGTTTGTCATTATCATCGTTAACTTTTTGATGAGACGAACGTGTGTGATAAAAGTGTCACAAGGATTGAAAAGAGAGACCGAGCGAGCGACCGTCGAGTGAAAGGAAAAACTAATAACGCTGTTCGAGGGGAAGGAGGAGAGAAATAATTCCTGGACGTGTGAGATACAGATACAGATACATATACGAATGTATCTTTCAGATACCAATTGCCATTAGTTTATTGAGAATCTCGAAATTTATGGCTCTGCGTGTCGTGGCCAACCACGCACAAATGGTCACAAATCTGGGCCCGCAACATATGTGGGCCTCCTACTACCGCTCCTCCTTCGTATTCCTTTTTGCCTCCGCTTCCTCCGGCATTTGTGGCACGTACAAAATTCATTTGTTGCACTATTTATGTCTCCCTGATGAAAATGAAATCAAATTAAATTTTCGGCACAATTCAAAGTGATATTTTGCAGCTACCATAAAACATGGCAAATGAGGTATAAATCTCTCTGAGAGTCATGTGTGTGCTTGAGCTTGTGTGTTTGTGTGTGTTTTCCCATGTGGGTAGATTGAATGGGAAATTGCTGGAATTTCCTTTTGGTCAGAATTACATGCGCATACTTAGGTAATATCTTAGATATTTACAACGTATCCAGGGGGTTTTAATAGAGACTGGGGATGGTACGAGATGTGCAAATGTGTAATTATAAGTTTGTTTATTTATTTATCCATATTTTATGCTAAATGTAGAAATATTTGCTTGTACCTTAAGAAATTAAGGTGTTAAATTTAGTGATAAGCATTTATTTTTGTTAAATAATAGATAATTTAATATTTATAGGCCTTTCTGAGGAATCACAAATATTACAAATTAAATAATTTCTTAAAAAGACATTAAATAAATGTTAATAAATGTTAAACATTTGTAAATTAGAAATTTATGCATATGCATGTTCCATTTTCCATCAAAAGGTATGCTATTTCCGTTTTGCCCTTCCCCTGCCCTTTCGCACTTCACACGCTGCTCCCCCGGGAGCTATATCCCATCCTTGTTCCGCATTAACCGAACACACTTCCACTTCATTTAAGTTTCAGGCGATAGAGCGAGATGGGTGATATGGAAGTGCGGTTTTAATTGCCAGCACAGCAAGAACAACAACAACTATTCTCCTACGTGCAGGCAATTATATTTAACAGACAAGGAAAGAGTGGTAGAGACAGAGAGGGGAGTAAAACTGCGACTAATCAACTAATAAATCCGTAATCACTGTTATTACGTATGCTGCCTGAGATGTTAAAACTTAAGAGTTAACCGGTTAACAAGAACAAACTAACTGACCAACAACAACTGCCGGCTTTTCCCCCGAAAATGAAAACAAAACGCTAGAACGCTCTCTGCCTCTCTAAACTTTCTCTTATACTCTTATACGCGGTACCTGTATTTCAGTTAGTTTCTCTCTCGCATGATATTTATAGCATGCGATTTATATACAGTGCAACGACCACAGACACGAAGACAGTTCGTGTGACTCTCTCTTACTCTCCCTCGCATCTTTTAACTCTCCATTTATGAAAGGTATTTATAGGGTGCTGGGATATACTCGGTTTTAAGGGAAGTTTGACACAAAGATACATATATATTTCTCTTCAGTGTATTCAATTTTAAATGTTTTTTATTATTTTTTTCATAATTTTTTATTTTTTTCTTCTTGAACTTCAGTAAATGTACTTATCAGTTAAAGCTCGATTGAACCTAAAACCCTGCTTCAAGATTAGCGATTTTGTTTTGTTGTTTTGTGGACTAAGTTCTAATTTCGTCTTATCGTTAGCTGATAATGTGTCAGCTTTGAATAAAACGGAAAAAGAACTTATAGTGACTTGGCAATCATTAGAAATAACATATAAATATACTATATCTTAATCTAAATACACTTAACCCCTATATAATTTTGATTTTCTATCACATTTCTTCAAAATTTCATCCATAAAAGAATATTCATTGCTTTTTAATTAATATTGTTTTTAGGAATTTAGTGTCATCATCTTACATAAATTAATAATAGATTATATGCTATATAATACGATTTGGTTTTATATTAATTTTAATAAACATTAAAATTTTTGTTATGATACTTCATAAATTATTTTAAAATTTTAGGAAACCTTAATATTTTGATTACCTATGAATATTTTCTCATCTTTTTCACTTTAACTAAATAAGGGGTATCTTTCAGTCGACTACGCCGACTACCCGTTATTTTTCGTCAGTACTAAGCGCACTTGCTAGCAGTCTCGTCTCTCATTTCTCATTTCATGTCCAGTCTCGAGCTCAGTTTGTTCCGAAAAGCCGACGTGAACACACGTGCTCGCTTGTCGCGCTAGTCGATGTTGGACTTTTGATTTTCCCAAGCCAGAGTCGCGCGTAGTGAGTTGTGGGCCGCTTTTGTTTGTCTCTTTTTGTGTCCAGCTATTTGGCAACCGATGCCAATAAGCCAAGTTAAGAGCAACGCACAAGAAACAACAAAAAAACACACACAAAGCGCAATTAAATGCAAATGTGTGAAAGTGTAGCGAGTATTTAGCAAATAAAAAAATAAATAATAAAAATCGCAGCTTAAAAGTGCGAACAAGCGCGAACAGAAAAGCTAAACAACAGTGCCAGTGCGTGTTTCTTCATGGTAGCTAAATAAAACAGCATATTAATATTAATATTTGCTTAAGAGTTGGAAGCAGCGCTAACCTCACATTTACTAAAATACGTATTAAAAACGGTAAGTATTTACGCCTTCTTGTTCAGTTATTACACTTTGAACCTCGCCATCTCGCTCTGTCTCGTTATCTCCCATTCGATTTTGCTTTGTGCTAAGCTTCGCTTGGAGCGCGCGCTTAGCCATGCTATCTCTTTTCCACTTAACGATCAGTCCAATTCCCCTATAATTGCACGGAAAAAAAAGAAGATCTAATTGATTGCTCATCACTAAATTGAGGCATTTAAAAGATCAATCAAAATGAAAATGAAAAACAATTTAAAGTTGAAAGATAAACAAAAAATAATAACAATTTGTTTTTGATATAAGAACCTTAAAAATTAATGTTTGCTTAGGTGAAAATAGGATATAAAATTCTTTAATGATAAGTAGTATTTGTTATATATGCATCCATAAAAACTTTCTAAATCTTATAATCATAATGATAAAAATATCTCTAAAAATTAAACTTTAATAAAAAACTTTTCTTTCTGTGCAAATAGGTTACAAATAACTGTTACAGCAATTGTTACCGTTGTAAAAAATTTCCCCAGTGTTTGTGTGTGTCACTTGTTGTTCATGATTTCCGTGGTTTTTCTCAACGCTTTCCTGGGAAATGTGAAAAATGCTGCACAGCAACTGCAAGTGCTCTTCGGCCTTGGATTGTATTTTGCTTTTTGGCCAAAACAAAAACTTACAGAAAAAAATACCCGAAAAAAAAAGGAAAACAAAGCCACACGCACTTGGCCCGAACTAAAAGCTTCAAGCCAAGCGTATTAGCACTCCGATTTTGGCCAAAAAATAAAACCAGTTTCGATACGAAACAAGCAAACAAAACAAAAGTTTATTTACTCCCAAAGAGAGCTTCGTTCAACAGGTTTTCATTGCGGGGACTTTTATTTGTGAAGAAGGTGGGAATTTCTGGGCAATGCAGTTCGGCTTTGTGCAATTAAACGAACGTGATTTAGCCGATTATTTATAGAACCTTTCGATTGAGAGTCAAGAAAGTTTCCTGTTAACTGGTTAAACCATGTAAGCGAAGGGCTATTGGCTTTACTAGAGCCACTTAAGTGATGGGCTTTTGTTTTTTAGGTTACGTAAATTTATTCAAAGACTATCGATTGAGAATTCTGAGTAAAGAGATATTAAATGCTAAATTTATTGAGAAAAAGTAAAAATGTCGTTTCCATTTCGGATTTTCCATAATCAGAGTTCAATAACTTACAAAAAGCAGGCTCCTGGTTTATGTGACTAAAATAGTCTTTTTTTTTTAAGTTTAAGCAAGCCAACAAAACTACTTTAAAAGTTAATTGGAATTAAAAATTTCAAAGATAGACTTCGTCATCTGTTTAATGGCATTCTGGTTTTTCCATTCAGCCATAAATCTCTTCTCAATTGATAACATTTTAAGCTCAAGCCACAGCGGAGACCTCGAGATTATCACAAGTTTAATGCTTATCAGTCATAAAATGGCGCTCCTTAAACTCAAGAGCAAGAGCAATATTGTTTTAACAATAATTATACCATATTTATAAATACAGAACATATTCATTCCGATAGTCAGCAGACGCCGTTCAAAGCTTCTTCAGAATCGCCTTTGGCTTTTCCGAGTAATTGTAGTCTGGATTTGGGTTAAGATTTTTCCTCTTTGGCCCAGATCAAAGGCAAGAAGCTCTCAAAGCAGCTACAACAATGGAAGCAAGCCAAAAAGGAAAAAAAAATGTGAGTCTCCGTCTGTGAAGGTAAAACTGCGGAAGTCATTTAACAGTCTACTTAACTTCTGCCAAAAAAAAGAAAAGAAATTCCCTAAAAAAAACAAACGAAAAATGAAGTAGAAAACGGCAAACTGGAAACATTCAAGATGCTCCTAAAGTTGGGCTTTTGGTCTTGGCCACGTTAGAAAGTAGCTGTAATTGTGGCTCCGTTATTGTTATGGCCAAAACTGCCACTCGTTCAACTGCAGGCGGTAAAAGTTGCCCAAAATGAATTGTCATACACGTTTTGTTATAAATATTTCTGCACTAACCGACAATGGGACAGTCATACTCGTACATAAATATTTAAAATTCATTGTTGTTTACTGGCTTTTTCTTTGTTTTTTTTTCCATCTTTTTTTTGAGGGCGTTTGCCCAGCAAGTTGATAACGCGAAAAGGCAGAAAAAACAATATTTAAACTTAACTCCGGTTTGGTTTTTACATCTGCCAAGTGTTTTTTAGCCATTTTGCTATTTCACTCTTCGTTATTGGCGGCTGGTGTTTCTAATTAGCACGTCGGCTCTAAGTTTTTCTATGACTTGTGCTCCGCTCAGCGGGATGAGTCAGCTACCCTAAGAGAGGAGAGCGTTATAATCGATCCGCCAGATGTCTTACTCTCTCGATCTCCGATCAGCGGGCGGTTAAACCCAAAGTCAAACCAGATTGATGACGTGAATGGGAGATAACTACACCGAAATATATAAGATCTAAGTTTGAAATTCGAAGATATGACAGGAAAATTGTGATCAATTGGTTTAGAAATGAAAGTTCAAAGAACTTAACTTATTTTCTTCCCACTATAAAGATTATAGGATATAACATTATTAATCTTATTTTACACATTTTTATATCTTGATGAATATAAAATTGATCTATATTTCTTAACATTCGATCAATCTTAATCTCTTCTTTCAAACATCTTATTTTCTATGTGCATTTTCAACGTGTGAGGTTTTTCTTTCGCTCCCCGATCAGTATTAGATTGAAATGCGATAGACCTGTCTGGTCAGTTGGAGGGTTTTATTGCGTTGAATTCAATTAATTAATTCCCAGTTTATTGCCTCAGCTGACCATAAAAACGTGAAAGGAGGAAGAACCATAGGTTTCCCACTGCGACATTCTGTGGAGTGAAATGAAGTCGTTGCACTTGCTTTCACCCTAATGCCTTCATCAGCTGCACAAACGAAAAATCTCATTAATTTTCCACTAGTCTCTCTATCTGTGGGTTATCTCTCTATTGTTTGTCCAGGTCCTTTTTCCACCTTTGTTTTTTTTCCTTTTTTGGCCCTACCTGCGTGCCGGAGTTTTCCCCTTATGAAGTTTTTCGGTCGCGACATGTTTTCTGATCCGTGTCCTGCGCTCTGCTCTAGTTCATTAGATGGACTTTGGCTAATCGATTTCCATAATCAAACAGCTGGCGCCAGAATGTTCTACTTGGTCGAGTGAGACATACCAGAATTAAGCCGAGTAAATGTTGATATAATAAACCTCTGGCAGGGCCAATTAGGCCTCACTCCTCCTCACCTGTGACAGACCCACATATTTTCTCATTTGAATAAAGAAACACGGCCACAGCAGGGGAAACATTAGACGCGCCTAAACGTGGAACTTAGCGGCCACAGAAATTCCAAATAAAAAAAAAAAAACAAAATACAGAAAAAAGAGAAATTTAATTAAAGCCGCATAGAAAAAATGCATAAATTTAGTCACCCCAAAAACACCCACCTGGCCATGTAATATTTGTAACCTCAGAGCGGGGGCAAAAAAAAAAAAACGTGTAATTTTCACGGTCCCCGAGCTGCAGCTTTTCACCAACTTGGCGGGTCAGTTCGGCACAATGATTAGGGTCAGCGTGGGGTGGAAAACTCCTGGCCATCTAGCTGGAAAAGGAAAAGCAACAGCAACAGCAACAGCAACAGCAGCAGCAGGTTGCCAACAATTTTTGCTTATAATTTTCCGCTTTTCATCATCCTTCTTCTTCTCGCCTCGCTTTGTTCTGGCCAAGATAAAAGCATTTGTCATTAGCATAAAATGTTCTGGCTCAGGTTTTGATCTGGAGTTTTGGCCCCTAAACAAGGAGGAAAAAAACGAAAGAATATTTGAACTTCATTAGTGGGCCAGCGAGCCCTAATGGGCACTTGGCTATAATTAAAATTTAAGCTAATTTTAATGCTTAGAAAGGAGAGGATAGCAGAACAGTAAGTCAGCCTCAATTTGGGCCAGATATTAAAAATACCTCAAATGGTGAATGTTCATCGCTTGATTTGACTTTAAGAACGGCACAAAGACACGAACCCAAAAGTGAATGATGGCATAGGGAAAATGGAAAAGCCTACGCTTGCTTACCCATTGATGGGCACTCATTGATAAGGCAATGCCCACGCAACATTAAGAACAGGAAAAGCCTCTTTTTGTAGGTGCAAGAAAAAGACGATCGTCTCTTCCTCATGCCTCGCCGAGCACCCTTGACAAAGAAAGTACCCTCGCCAACGTCTTAAGATTTAAGACGCTGATAAGTCAAAAAAAAAAAAATATATACTTAGATGGCCAAGATGGTACGATAACATTCCCAAGGGTCAACACTTAACGCTTCGCGTGGTAGGCTAGCAATTAGAGGGACTTTCATTGCGACTCCTCCTCGTTAATGATTGATATCCGTCTAGTGGGCCTGGGAAAATGTTTGGGCACATATTGGACTGACATGATCCCCAATAGCCGAAATGTCAGGAGCCAGCCCCTTGAATTTACATCAATGGCATATCGGTTGAAAATTTAATAGCACATTAAGGACGGACAAGGACTAACATTTGCATTCCTAATGAGACAGCCGACCAGCCGACGCACACACATTCAGACTGCAATTGGTGGGGACAGTCGGAATTATATAGCAATCAGTCGCGGACTCAAATGTGTCAATATGTTCCACACAGACGGGGCTTTCCATTGGTATATGGAACTCTCTCTCTCTCTGTATGGGACTGTCTGCAATTTTTATGCAGGCTCTATAAACAATTCACTTCCCAGTGAAATCGGAGCAAGACTGATGGCCAGGGAACATGTAAATCAATACACAAACAAATTATAAATGCAAACAGGGACGGGACAGACAAATCAGACGGCCAGACAGGAGCGCAATATCAGACTGTTTGCACAGATTGACGCCATTAAAATCAACATATGACAGTTTTTTTATGTGTATATATATATATATATATATTGCCTGTCCTCTGCCATATTACATACGTATATATACAAATCCAGGCCACCTC